AGGGTGACATAGTAGCCATGAGTTGTGTGTCCTATTCAACGCCCCAGAAACACCAATGTTGCCTGCTGAGCAGTTGATTGAGCATGATCATAAGACAATAGTGACTTGAATCATTAATAACTTTTGATCCTTACATTTGATCGAAAAGTGATTTTTAACAAAGTTGTAGCTGGAAAAATTTCCTTTAAGTACAGTTGAACACTTTTGAAGCAGACCGATATGGTGAATTATAAGATAGACATGAACAAGAATCTTGGTTTTACCATAGTAATTCCCATACAAACTTCAAATGGTTTGTGCCATCTCAGTTTCTCACCAAATGGGTTCAAATTTTGAGAGGTTAATCAGGATCCGATTTGGAATCGTTTAAGTATTGTGGAGCGAAAATTTCAAATTTTGCATCACTCTAATCAACATGTTTCACTTGCCTTCTGTTGTGTTGCCTGTGTACTTAAGACTTGGTCTTCATGAGACCCCTTTCTCTCTAGCCTAATTTAAAAAAATCAACAATTTTCTTGAATATTATGGAACTGTCCTTTATTTTTCAAATAGTCTAGACTTTCTTGTCCAGAAAATTTCTGAATTTGCTTAATTTATTTTGAGTGTCGTAAATCTCTCAGTATTTTTAGAAGTACCCGTAATTTTACTGAATTTAATTGAATTACCTTTAATTTCACAAAATTTTCCCAAAGTTTTGTAAACTTCATAAACGCTCACGGAGCTTTGAATTTCTCTGAATACTCCTGAAACTTTCTATGCTTCTCTGAGGATCCCAAATATTCATAATTCCCTGACACTTATGAAGTTTTCGAATCAGTCATAGAATTCTAGAAATATACCCACAATTCCACGGCACTTTTGTAGCTATCCGCACATTTTGTTAATTTAATGTGGTTGCTCTGAAGCTAGCATGAAACTATCTAAGAGTTTCGAAATTTCTTTGAAGGTCGCTGGAATTTCTTGAAGCTATCGTATTCTTTTCAATTAATAAAGCTGCCTTGAACTTGTCTTATCAACTTAGTTAAATTTTCACCGATTTTTTAAGTTCTTCAATTTCCCATGATAATCATGAGATTCTTAAAAAACATTTTCCTGATGTTATTAAAGTTTGAAAACGCTGCAATTAAGGCATTTTTAAAAAGTTCACTGAATCAATCTAAGAGTGAATTGAATCACAGTAGGCATTGGTTGTTCATTTGTTTACATCATGGTTTCACCGGAGCAACCACGTCACGATTCGATCGTGCACGCTCGAAACGAAAATATGGTGATTTTAATCAAATTCTTGGTCAGGAATTTTACATCTCGGTTGACCGGAGGAATGTTAAATCAAAAAGAAGTCGAAATTCCCCACAAAGTTCCTGCAATCTACAGTTGAGGGCTGAAAAGCGGAACAGGTCTCGTGCAAAAGATGATGGGCCGTGTACGAAGAAAAGTTCAAGCAACGGCTTATGGCAGGAAGGAAGACTGAAGCAATGGTCTTACAATAAGCATAATAACTAAACTATTAAAAATAAAACGCATTTTTAAATCTCATCAACAAATCAACAAGATTTTCGTATCCGATTTATCTCGTGTTCAACCTTTATTACTTACGTTCTTGAATTTCTCTCGGAGGAGTAGTTCCAGGCAAATAGCGAAAAAAAAAACATGAAATTTTTAATCGACCTTCTCCGATTTGCATCAAACTCTGCGTAATTGTTTGTTTTGGGCAATGGATTCACATTTTTGCTAAAATTCGGCATTTCTTATGTTGAAAATGGCACCTGTGAATTAAAAAAAAAATATTTCATGGAAACAGCATTCTTAATCGAAATGACGTCTGAGACAAAGTTGATGAGAAAAATAATGTCTTTCTGGAACAAGTTAACAAAGAATTCTGTTTGAAAAAAAAAAACACCTAAAGTTTTCATAAGTTCTCTGAAGATCTCTATACTTCCCTGAAATTCTCGGCACATCTTAAGGATTCTCGTATCTTTGACGTAGGATTATGTCTTTCGGCAATATATTGGGGGTGCAAATAAAAAAAAAGCAAAATTGACAGCGTTACGAAAAGTGGTCAGGTTTTGACCACTTATAGCTCTGTCAATAGCAGATGGATTTGAATTCTAAACAATCCAATCGATTGGAATTTTTTGTACAAATCTGCTAAAATGAACGTTTTATCAATTTTCAATAGGTCACTATTGAAAATTATACAAATGTACAACTGTTGCAATGGTGATCAACATTATTACCGATTGCCTGCAAAAAGCGCTTTCCCTGACACAGAGTTCAAAACCGAATTCCATTTGGTCTCCCCGTACGATGCTTATTCAATCACCGTCAGTGGTGGTGTCCTCGATTCACCAAAGGAGGAAGAAGCCACACCGCTACTGATCGGATTCAGTTGCTCGTCGTGAGCCGCTGTGAGTCATCTATGCCAAGCATTTCATCTTTTTGAGTCTCCAGGATCAAATTGTCCATACCTGGAAATGTGGCCAACTAAAACCCATCATGCTAGACTGTTGCCGCTGGGTGCACTGCTTCAGGTTGGCGTTCCGCGTTGTCGCCCCAGCTGAACTCCGATGACGGCTGTTAACGGTCAGCTGAACGTATGACAGGTGACAATAAGGAAAGAAGGGGACGCTACTCCAGCGAACATTTGTTATTCTAAAATTTATCAATGCCCAAACGATTCAATTTGTTACTAGTAGTGAAGTTTTGCCTAATTAAAAGCACATACAGAAACATTCCTAAACAAGTAATAAACATAGATTTCAAGCATATCATTTGCACACGTAGAACACCGTAAGTGTAAGTAAACTAACCTATAATTTGTTAATCTATTCCTAATTCACTGAATTGCACTTGCAGTTTAAAGCTGCACTAAATCGATAAGATTTGTTTATGTGCTGCTCAAAATCCGGTGTCCGAAATGTATAATTTTTCGTTCTGCCTGCCGTAATAAATCTTTAAAACTTACGTGATGATTGCCGGTGCGAATGAATCCACGCTCACGCCGGACATGGATAAGACGGGAGGCTGCGTGAATTGCTCGCGGCCCCGTTTCTTTCGATAATTTTGTGCAGTGTGACCAGTGCGATAGCTAGTGGCACATGCGGAGTGACGAGGTCGGTAGCCGAAAGACCATGGACTTGCCGCAATTGTCTGCCTACGAGTATCAACTCAAAGTCCACCAATAAGTCGGCCCGAATTGCCCTGAGATTGCAGAAGCTAGAGGAGGAGCGCGCAATGGAAGCGGAGAAAAGGGTCATCAAACTGGAGAAAAAGCTTATGCAGGAGAAGTATATTCTGCTGGAGGAGCAACTGGAGGAAGACAAGGACAATATGAGCAACCGCAGCCGGGTGAGTCGACGAGCAAGCTTGCAACGAGTGATGCAATGGGTGCATCACCAGCCAAAAGAAGAGGCCACCGGAGGAATACCATTGCAAGTGGAAAGTGGAAGTGAACTGGTTGAGGGCAATAATATGCCAACGGGAGGTTGAGCAACTAAGAAGCCGGAAACTATGAATCATATGGAGTTGCACCACAATTCGGCGCAGCCGCAGGAAACAACGACATATCGGTCGTAGCTTCAAGGGAGTCAGCAGCGGTATACAGGCGCGATTCCCAAGGTAACATTACCCAATCCTCGCGTCCCGTACTGTCAACAGGTAAGCCACCAATTAATCCCACTATGAATCCAACATGTCCCGCTCAACCGAGCTACAGTTCTTATCAAGATCTGCTAGCAAAATTGGGGTCAATTAGACCGCTACTAAATTATACAAGTTCGGCACGACCTAATGCGACGAAGCCTATTCTTCCTGGCCATCCTACCCCTACGGTTCCTCTCTCCACACCTTTGGGGAGGAACTAAATTCAATATGCTACTCAAGCCAATACCTGTCAAAACGCCAATAATTCCAACCAAATATCTGCTTTCTCGACACCAAGAGTGCCCGAATCTGGTCATTCCCCCTCGCAGTTAGCCGCCCGACAAGTAATGGCTCGCGACTTACCCACATTTTCCGGTAATCAATAACAATATTACACTGACTTGTGGATACAACCGTGCTGAGAATCTCACTCGTCTCCAGCGCTGTTTGAAAGGCCATGCATACGAATCTGTCAAAAGCCGGTTACTGCTTCCCGAATCTGTTCCACAAGTAATCGATACCTTACGTCTGTTGTACGGAAGGCCCGAATTATTGATAAGTGCTTTGCTACAGAAGGTGCGGAGTGTTGCGGTGCCAAAAGCGGAGAAATTGGAGACCATCATCGACTTCGAAATGGCAGTACGCTGCCTGTGCGACCATTTGGAAGTGCACTTACTGAAGAGCACCTTTCTAGCCCAACCTTGTTGATGGCATTGGTGGAAAAACTACCGCCACACGGAGCGGAGCAGAACCCATCTGTGAGTCAGCGAGCCAGAAGGAGCGTGTATGTGTTTGCTGTAAGAAATTTGGTCATCGTATAGCAGAGTGCCCGGTGTTCAAGTCGTATACCGTGAACGATCGATGGAAGCTCGCACAAACAAACGGTCTATGCCGGAGTTGTCTCAACGCACACGGTAGGAGGAGTTGCAGAAGTGCGACACAATGCGTGATCGAAGGATGTCAATTCTGCCACCATCCACTGCTGCATTCAAACCGTTCGAGCGGTCAGCCTACGCCAAGGCTATCAACGGTGCAGAATCACACTCATCGACAATATAAACAAGCTCTACTATTTCGTATCGTTCCTGTCATCATCTCAGCACCCCGAGCGTCCATCAAAACGTTCGCCTTCCTGGACGACGGGTCAGATCTATCGCTGATCTTGGTGGAGCAGCTCGGTATCGATGGATGGACGAAACCGTTGTGCCTCAAGTGGACAGGGATCGTTACCAGAGTCGAGTCGGAGTAAGGAGCTGAATTTGCCGGAGCAGAGCCTTAACTACAATGATCTTGCGCAACGTTACCGTTATCTTCAGGGTCTGCCAATTGTCAGATTCGAGAGCGCTGTTCCCCGCCTGTTAATCGGCGTAAATAACGTAAACCTTACGGTACCACTGCAAGTGAAAGAAGGCAAGAAAGGCGAGCCTATTGCGGTAAAGACCAGGTTAGGATGGAGCCTCTTCGGTGGTAATGGTAAGGAGGCATCACATACGCTGAATTTCCATGCCTGTAAATGTACGAGTGACCAGGAGCTACACAATGCGGTGAGAGATTATTTCACGGCGGAGGATGCAAGTGTGAAATCAGCACCAGTGCCGGAATCTGATGAAGATAAACGTGGTGACCTTTGGAGCCACCTGTTCACCGTGAAGAACACCAACGCTGCAGAATTCGCTGATGTCTTTCCACGGGCGGTTTAAGCTATTTTGAAGGATCACTATGTGGATGACTTTCTCGATAGTTTCTAGAGCGAAGAGGAAGCGGTTCCTAAGAAGTGAGACCCATACACCAAAAAGGAGGTTTCCATCTCAGAAACTGGCTACGAAACAGCGCTATAGTGCTAAACGAACTGAAGGAAGAGGAAACTTTGGGAAGCAAGATCCTCTGCTTGAGTCCAACAGACGGATGCGACCGAGTATTAGAAATGCTGTGGCTCACGGATGAAGATGAGCTGCGGTTTTCGATGAAAATGAAGGATGAAGTTCAGGAGGTAATTTATAGAGGTGATCGGCCGACTAAACGGCAGATGCTGAAATGTGACATGAAATGGGACTTCTGAGTGTGTTCCTCGTTCACGACAAAATACTTCTTCAGGACTGCAGTGGGACGAAAAGGTGCCGGAAGCAATATTCGACCGATGGATCAGGTGGACTGGGCTGTTTCGTAAGATTGGTGACTAACGAATCCCTCGCTGTTACTTCAAGAAAGTGACCACGCAAACATACGATCAACTTCAACTTCACATCTTCGTTGATGCAAGCGAAGCTGCATTCTCCGCTGTAGCTTACTTTAGAGTGGTCAACGCTGAAGGTAAAGCCGAATGCACAATAGTTGCTGCCAAGACAAAGGTCACACCGCTCAAGCCATTCTCAATGCCACAAGCAGCAGTCCTGGGAAGTCGCATGATGTCTTTTGTACAGGAGGGTCACAACGTCGAAGTGAAGCGACGATTTCTGTGGAGTGATTCCGCGACTGTATTGGCTTGGCTGCGAGCTGACCACCGCCACTACAAACAATACGTAGCGTGTCGGGTTGGAGAGCTATTACCAACAACGGACATCGCAGAATGGCGATGGGTCCTTAGCAAACTCAACCCTGCGGATGCGATGACACAATGGGGAAAGAACCCGTGTCCTGAAGTCACTCACGAGTAGTTCAGAAGCCCGGAATACCTTCGTCTCCCCGAGAACGAATGTCCGAAGCAAACCAAGGAACTGGTGCAACCGAAAGAGGAACTACGGCCCTGTTTTGTGATACAAGGTTTAACAATTCCAGCTACCATATAGTGGATTTCTGTCGATTTTCGAATTGGAGCCGGCTATTAGGAACAGTTGCGTACGTGCACCGTATTGTGGACAATTGCAGGCGTAGAAGACGAGGAGAAGAAACACAATCATCGTTTCTGAGCCAGGATGCCAGAAGAACACATTGATGCAAATGGTACAGTGGGAGGAGTATCCTGAGGAGATGAACTTGATAATGGGAAGACAAATGGAGCTACACAAAACGATAAATAATTGAAATTGGTCCAGGGGCAGTTGAGTTATTAACGTTCAAAATCTTTCATAATTTTGTTACATGTTCCATTTTCAGTTTTCACAAAGTATAATGTTTACAACTGATTCCCGATTTATCTAAATTTCACCACTCCGAAAAGCTTCGACAATCTGCCCTCAACTGTCAAGCCTGCACCTTGAGTTGGGAAAACTGAGGTAATACGGTTTACATAATATTACCGTGATTCACGAGGCCATCCATCATCATCTTGCGTGTGAAAACCCTTGTTGAGTTGAGGTTTGGCCCACGGAAAAAGGTCACCGTCACAAAAGGTTTACCCTTCAGTCTTTCTCCGCACTTGATGTCTCTGTGAAAAGTTGATGAAGAACTTTTAATTAAAGCATTATACTTTGACAGTTTGGAAATGCATCGCTTAGTTAGCTTGATACACCTTATCAATTAATCATCCTTGCCATTTCTCCGCTACATGCTGCATTGTACTTTTATAGCAACTAGAACCAATTGTCGATCGAATTGTTTCAAATGTGAACATAAATTGAAACAGTATTCATATAATCAATTTAACATAATTTATTGATCTCCAACCTACGCCGAAGGCAGCAGCCCCCTCTGCGTTGTGACAAGGCTGTATTTGACATGATAAAATATATCGTTCAACAGGCGCCACAAGTAGGCGTCGGTTGGGTCACCGCTCGGTCGCGCAAACGTCTGGCTTGACTGGCTGAGCAAAACGAGCGCCCAGCAGTAATAACGATAATACATAATATTTTTGCGGCAAAATTTAATTTGCCCAATCCAACGATCCCGTGCACCCGGTCCAATTAATCACCCATAATTGCGGTCGCATTAATTACCGCCTTAAATCTGTCCCCGCAGCTCTTTCCGGCCAAAAACAAACAGATTAAAGCGTTCTTAAATTTTCAACAATCGATTACCGGGAAACAGTGCATCAGAGGTTGCTGCGATCGCCAAGGCTGGCCTTCCAGTTGATAGATTGGTGGTGGATTTTGGATGGAGAAAAAAAATGTCATTCTCAATGTAATCATCAAATAGGGGCCAACGCCGTTCGCTGCAATCTGACACAGAGTCTCAAAATCAAATCAACGTCAAATGGAACAAAACTAGACTAACAATCGCAATTGGGCGGAACAACCAATGGCTTTAAGCGCAAATTACTGGAGAGGTTATAAATAATCACGCAAACTAACAATGTCACTTGATAAAGGAAGTTTCCTCTATGAGATGCTGTTGGTGGATTCCTGAGAAATTTGCGTTAAACCCATTGTTTACGTTTGGTTGTTCCGCCTATTTCGATTGTTGATCTAGAAAACATGGAAGGCTCCGTTGTTGCAGCATGAGAAGGCGCCGCCGTTCCATTTGCCGTTTTGTTTTGCTTCATCCACCCGTCGACAGCTAATGTGATTAAGAGCTTTCACACTCGAACCGTGTGAGCCGTTAACGTGTTGTGAGGATAGCGGCAGCCTTAGTGGGCTTCGGAAAACTTTTTAAAACCATGGCAAATTGGGACTGTGGGACTGGATAAAGGCTAAAAGGAGTGCCTTCCAAGTCAGGTTTTCTTGCCAGCAATTTGATAGCCACTTGATTTTACTGCTCATGAGGGAAGATGGAAGCGGCTTGATTCGAGCACTTGATGTATCGGCAATTGACTGACATCCTTCATTCGATTTAGGATAAGTTCTATTCCATTTAAGATTACCATCGTCTGCATTTTTCTATTTCTATGGAACCATCCCAGCAATGAAGGTTAAATACTTTCTTGCATGCTATATCACTGGAATGACCTCCGCAGCAGGCTATAAATATTCCTCCAGCTCATTTATGGCCACACCAAGCCGAGCCCTTCGCTAACGAAGGGTAACTATGAATAAAAGAAGGAACGAAGCTGCCTGCAACCCGATACTCCCCGGAGTAGCCATCGGGCGTGTTTGCCGCCAGCTTGGATGAGGAGCAAAAAACTCCTTGCTCCTTGCAATCCTACCATTAGTGATTATCATTTGAATAATTAATCGGAGCTCTCGTTGGATGTGAGAGCAACAAAGCACAAGTCGCATCCCATCGCAACAACAGCTAGAGTACAGTGATTCACTCAGGGTCTCGGGCTTTAACTTTCCCTTTAATGAATATCTAATGAAAAGTAGTTTGTATTTGGGGGGCAATCGATTTTCCACCGGGGTTGAACGCTTTTCTTGATTGATGCCATATTTAGGACGAGGAAAGAGACAGATTGCTTTCACTTGCTATAAACAGAGCGCAGCCACAGAAGCTACCACTAAGAAGCCGAACGAGAGCTCTGACGATGATTAATGCAACACCAGAAGCACTTTGTGTCGAGGATTCGGAATAATTCGAAGGATAATATTCCGATGGATTAAATATTCATGACTGTTGCGCCTCGTTCAGTCGTTCGCCACCAGTTCCGTTCGTTTAGGTTGATTGGAGATTTTCTCCCTCTGCAGCAATCCAGTAGGCTCCGAAATGGGCAGTGTGTTTTTAAATGTTCAACCCTAACAGATCTGCTGTGCCAAACCAAGAATCAAAACATAGCAACACATGTCAACGAATAAATAAACCTACTACGATTGGAAACGAAAATATCCGACGGCAATTTTCTCACGACAGGTGCGAGACAGTTCAATTTAGAGCGCTCTAGCATTTCCAGTGGAATAGACAAATGGCGAACATTTTTCAAACTGCCTGACACTTCGCCTTCTCCGACGTTCCGCGGAAAACCGGCTAGAAGATCAAAAACAAATTTACATTGCTGTGAATTTTGACGGATATTTATGGGACTTTATTCACACCTTAAGCCTTCCTTAATGGTGAGAAAAGAGTTTTATGAACTGTTTTATTTGACATTTAACATAGTAAACAAAGCCCCCTTTCCACCCTACTCAAAGCCTTTTCAATGGACCGAATTAGTGTGCACACAAAACTGCGCTAAAACTTTCCCGGCTCTTGAAGGAATTGCAGCCAGTAGCAATCCGGTTGTTGAATCAAGGAATTAACTTTCAAGGTACGGCAATGGGCCGCAGAAACTACTACAGTATTCCCTCGCTCATCCGACGACTCAATAATCCGACGACTCGCTAATCCGACGACTCGCTCATCCGACGACTCGACAATCCGGAAAATATCGGATTCAAAAGTGTACACACGCGTTTGAATACATTGTGCTGTCAATTTTCAAATTTGTGCTGTAAGCATGCTGTCTGTTTATGTTGATATTCTAGTATGGATGTGACAGTCGGACTATCACGGCAAACCCCCGATAGTCCGGCCATGATTTTGTTGGATGAGCGGGGCAATACTGTACCATAGAGCACATGCAAAAAAATCGCGACTTCTCACTGATTGCGCTTTTATTTCGCGCCAGCTTCCAAAGAAACTTTCCGGAGTGCAATTATAGCGAAAAAAAGTTTTAATTAGATTTCCTGTACAAGGGAGAAAAATGCTAATTAAAAACGAATTGAGCCGACTTGTTCCTGCTTCCTGTTCGAATCCATGTCCTGAGAAGGTGAGTGAGTGATTTTTAACTCCAGGAAAAAAATGTTTCAATTGTGGAAACTTCGACAAACTGTCGGACCGGAGAAATTAACTGCCGTCATTGTGTTGTCACTCACGCCACAAGAAGTTGGTCTCTTGAGTTCGAGCAAAGTGGTAATCATTGCTTGAGAAAAATGCTCCTTCATCCTTTCCTGCAGGATTAATAGACGGTCTTTGATTTGCGTGAATCTACCGCGAGCGCACCGCAGACATAACCTCAAATTAGCAGTTTGAAAATCATCTCTATCATTTGAAGCAGGCTGTGCGAAAACATTACCAACGTTGTTTGGTTGGTTGGTTTGTTGGGATTCAACCGCAAAATTAGCCACGTTTTCCTGGCATGCTGAGATTTCGCTAACACTGTGGTCTGCGTTGGCGTTGGTGAATTATTAGGCTGTGCTGTGATTGTCGGTGGTCGCGGGTTGTCATTGACACAATTAATATGCGCTAAAAGAATGCAATCAAGCTTAAGGAACACATTTACTAAATCTTTTGACGTAGGACTACGTCTGTAATTTATGTATGGGGGTACACTTTGTGAAAACCAAAAATGGAACATGTAACGAAATTATGAAAGATTTTGAACGTTAATAACAGAGTTGCCTCTGAACCAATTTTAATAATTTTATCACCAATCGATCAGAAATATTTCTACACATATGATAAATTTAAGACTTAATCATTTTTCAAAATGTCACTATTGAAAATTGCACGAATGTGCAACTGTTGCTATGATAATTAAAATTATCACCAATTGCCTGCGAAAAGCGATTTCCCACGGATTTTAAAGTTGAATTCTATCCGGTGTCACCAAACGGTGTTTATCCAATCACCGCGCAGTGAGTTGTGGTGTTCTCCAGTACACAACGAAAGGCTGCCTGCAATCAGCGAGCTGCAGCCCACGTGAGCATCCATAGAAAGAGGAAGCAGCTGCACGGCTATCAGTAACACTTCGTGAGTCGCTGTGGGCCATTTATGACAAACGCGTCATACTAAAGAGTATAAACAGAGAGAACCCCGCTCAAATTCATATTATTACACAAAACACAAGCTCCTGCTGCAGTTAAAAAAAAAGATTTATTATGTAAGACTACGTAGTCCTACGTCACCATTGCGTACAACCTCATAGGGCTGTCCATTGTTGTTTTTTTCTGGAACACATTCTATGTATGAATACTGTCAATAATTTCAAGGTGTGTTTTCATTTGGTTAAACAATATTCCCTGAGTTTTCCAGAGCTTTACGGACGTTTGCAATAACGCACTTATTAAATTGATAATAGTTTTGGTTGAACAATGTTACATCCGTAATCAAGGCCAACAAGCTGTTGTTACGAGCTACTATTTATTACGTCTATCTTGGTTGGTGGTCGGATAAAGAATCAATCTCTAACTTATGACAGTCAGGCAAGGCCTACTACATCTAGGCCTACTACATCTCCCCCTTTTAGAAAATGTCATAGGAAGAAAGCCATCTTGGAATTCTTGATTCTCGTACAGAACGTCGAATAAAGTCTCCAACTGCTTCAGATGACACGGGCTTTTGTGCGGACTGAAGTTCTCCATCTTGAGCAGCAGGTTCATGATCGATTGTCGAAAAAGGATTTTCGCCAGACGTACTTGCCACTTGACCATCAGCTTCGAGTGATACGGAACCAACAGGAATAGGGACATCCTGATTGAATTGCACTTCTGGATCCAACGGTACAGCTTCATCTTGAATTTCATCAAGCAGGATTTCCCATGGTAGTTGCTGCGTCGCTTGCTCTGGATCATCAGAAGTGTGACGAGGGCGCATTTGGTTTACATGCGGACCTCACCAGCTTCGGTCTCCCGTTCATGTCCAGTGCAACGCTATAGTTTACTAGACAAGGAATCCAGGACTTGGCGTTTCTGCGATGCTGTTCAACGTAGACCAGGCCATCTTCTTCAAACTCGCGCTTGACTGCTCCATGCCGCCAATTGAACTGTTCGTTTTGTTTGTGTTTCTTGACAGCTTCAGTTACAGGAACAGGTTTCTTCAGTAGGTCCAAAGTGGTGCGCACTGGTCTTCCTAGGAATGCTTCTGCTGGAGACGTCGACTGCGGTGTGTTTCGGTTTGGGATTGAACGATACAGCGAAAGGAATGTCTGCAGGTGCTCCAGTGTGAGTGATCCTTCCCCCTTGGCTAGCTTCTTGAGGCCACGCTTGAGTGAATCAACGAATCGCTCCGCTTGGCCTGCGGGTGGTAGGGAGCAGTGCGGAGATGGGTGATACCATTTGCACGGCAATACTGTTGAAACTGCTCGCTGGTGAATTGCGTTCCGTTGTCTGAGACCAATGTGTCTGGGTTGCCGTAACGAGAAAACGTTTCACGCAGCATATTCAGGGTTGCAGCTGTGGTAATGGATTGAGTGCGAAAAATTTCGGGCCACTTAGAGAAAGCATCTACCATGACGAAATAGTAGTATCCATGGATCGGACCAGCAAAATCGATATGGACACGTTGCCATGGCTTGTCCGGGAGAGGCCATGACTCCAAGGTTGCTTTTGTCGGGGACTGAACTGACGGACAAATTGCTCCACATCGTCGTCAACGTTAGGCCAGTAGATGTAACTTCGGGCCAGAGACTTTATTCGGTCCATTCCTGGGTGTTCACGATGCAGTTGCCGAACGATCCGCTTTCGAAACTTTGATGGGACGACGATTCGATCGCCGAACATAACGCAGTTGTCGACAACTTGAAGTCCATCTCGTCTGGCGAAGAACTTCGCATTTGCTGGCCAACCTTCGTTAAGGAAATTCACCACTTGCTGAAGAACTGGATCCTTTCGAGTCTCAGCCACAATCATCTGGTGCGTGACTGGAAGGTTGCTGATGGTGTCGTCGAGAATTACTTTTGCTTCAGATTCGACGCACACGGCGGCTATGACGTAATCCTCATCTGGTCTATGCTGCGATGACATTAGCCGGGATAGAAAATCTGCATAGCCAAAATTCGTCGATGAAACGTGTTGGATGTCGTACAGCAGAAGTGTCAAGGCCCAGCACTGCAAACGGTTTGCTATGTAAACAGGAATACCTTTCTTTGAGCCGAAAACCTTGAGTAGCGGTTGATGATTGGTTTGCAGGAGGAGGAAGTGTCGTCCATACAGCATTTTGTGGAAACGGGTGACAGCGAATATCAGGGCCAATGCTTCCTTCTCCACTAGTCCGTAGTTCATCTCTGCTGGGGTCAGTGAGCGCGAGGCGTGCGCAATTGCCTTCACTTCACCGGTCGGGAATCCATGCATGATGACAGCGCCAAGGCCGTACTTCGATGAATCTGCTGCTACAACGATTTCCTTGGACGGGTCGTAGTGTGTAAGCAGCAGGTCGGAAAGTAGAATGGCCTTGAGCTGCTCGAAAGACTTCTGGCAATTCTTGGTCCAGTTCCAGCGTGCATCTTTCTTGAGGAGGCTGTCCAGAGGAGCCCTGAGTTGCTTCATCTGCTTAACGAATCTACCATAGTAGTTGACAGCACCGAGGTAGGAACGGAGTTGCTGGACATCCTTCGGAGACTGCATCTTGGAATTGGCTTCTGTTTTTGAAGGGTCAGGCCGAATACCGTCCTTATCTACGATGTGTCCGAGAAACTTGATCTGGGAGTGTGCGAAACGACATTTTTTTAGGCGTAGGTGAAAGCCATACTCACGGATCTGCTCGAGAACAGCGTAGAGACTGCGATCGTGTTCCTGCTTGGTGCGACCAGCGATGAGGATGTCGTCCAAATACGGCTTGACTCCAGGGATGCCGGCCACCATGCTGTCGATGATGCGCTGGAAAGCGCCGGGTGCCGACTTGACTCCGGGGGGTAGTCGGTTATACTGGAACAGTCCACGATGCGTGTTGACCGTGAGTAGCTTTCGCGATTCCTCCTCGACCTCGACCTGTAGGTAAGCGTCAGACAAATCGAGATGAGTGAAGTAACGTGCTCCAGCTAGTTCCGCAAAGAGGTCGTCAGGATGAGGCAGGGGATGATGGTCACATTCTAGCGCGTTGTTCAGCCCCGTCGAATAATCGCCACATACACGGACTGATACATTGTCCGACTTGCGTACGACGACTATTGGTGCTGCCCAGTCCGAGAATTGAACTGGAGAAATTATACCGTTTTGCTGGAGCCTCTCAAGTTCTGCGTACACCTTGGCGAGTGCAGCGTACGCTACTGGTCGTTTCGGGCAATATGCAGGACGTGCGTCAGGTTTGAGGTACAACTTCACTTGCGCTTTTGTGCATCTACCCAGCGTGCTTCGAAAAACTTCCGGAAACTGTTGCTTGAGTTGATTGGTGAACTGATCAGAACGTTGGTGTACGACGTTGACCAAGCTGCTTATCGGCACAGACCACAAATCGAACAGATCCATAGTCTCGATTCCTAGAACGTTGAGTTCAGCGCTGCTTGAGATGAAATTGGTGATCTCGGTCTGAAACTCAGCGAGAAGGTTGAGATTGCCACCAGAAGCTGTAACTGCAGATTCTTCCGTCGGTTGAGTGGGTGGCTGTCCGATGCTGATCCATGTTTCTTCTGAGATTATGGTGATGTCGGACGCCGAGTCGTGTTGAAGTTTGACTGCTACACCATTGAGCTCGACCGGGATGAACTTCCGCTTGCTTCCGATGTTGCGAACCGTGTAGATGCTTTTTGTCTTCACGTTCTCTTTGGATTTGGCCTGTTTGAACGGTTTCGACGGCACATTCTTGTTGCTGTTGCAATAACCTTCCTTGTGTCCTTGTTGCTTGCATCTGGAACAGGTGTGCGAAGCGAACGGACACTCACGAACATAGTGCTGGTCGCCACACTTCCAACATGGCGTTTTCGGCACTTTTTGGTTCTTTTTTGAGGCAGGATTATTCTGGTTGCGAGAAACAATGTTGACGTTGCGTGCTTCTTTGTTCTCCACCATCAATGTGTCCTGCTTGAGATTGGCCACGCGATGGCATTCTTCCACGAGATTCTCCAGGGTTACCTTGCTGGTGGCTTCTCCCAATTCGTTGACTGCGGTTTGGTCGGCTTCCAATTTCTAGAACAACCTAGCTCGTATGTCCGCATTCCGTGGTGATTGGAGTCCACAGACGAAACGGAGAGCTTTGAATTGGTTCGGTGTGAGCTTGGACAGCTGAAACGCTTCACATTGTTTGTTCACTATGGCAGCATACGATGTGAAGTCATCCGCGTCACTCTTTGCATACTGGAGGCACTGTAACGGGAATAAAAAACCGACTTCTGTCGACCGAACAGTTTCTTCAGCTTCGTGACGGTTTCGTCCAGGGTGAAGTCCCGGAGATGCTTGGGAAGAATGGTGTTGACGTACTTCTCGTGCAGAGGCGTGCTTAACTTGCGAATAAGCAATCTCACACGAGCGGCGTCATCCAGGGATTGGCCGTCCTTTGTAAAGACATCCTCGTACCTCGCATACCAGCCATCGAAGAAAACTCCTCCGTCCGGATCGTACTGGAAATCCTGGATCCCGCTTGCCAAGGACTCAATAATCTTCTCACTGCCAGCAGTCGGATTTCCCCGATTTTCCAGGTTTTCAATCTGCTGCTGCTGCCTCATGATGAGATTTGTTAGCTGCAGGATGGCGTTCCGAAGATCCTCGTCAGACATTTTCTTGCTTGAGTTTTCTTGCTTCGAGGTTCGAGGTGCTTCCAAAATTTTCCTCGTCGCCAATTGTTATATCCGTAACCAAGGCCAACAAGTAAAACAAGCTGTTGTTAAGAGCTACTATTTATTACGTCTATCTTGGTTGGTGGTCGGATAAATAATCAATCTCTAACTTATGACAGTCAGACAAGGCCTACTACATCTAGGCCTACTACAAACAACAACAAAGGCAACCGTTTTTAAAACATAACAATCAGTTTTAGATAAACAGCTTTACAATCAAATCCATTTCAGATTGAAATTTAACATATATTTAATTCAAGTAAGTCGAAGATCTCATAATATTCAATGTCTTGAAGTTTCGTGTTTCAAGTACAAGTTCAATAAACGGTGAAAACAAGGGGTAGGTCACTCCACTCACCAATCTTGGGTCATCTTTTTTGTCAGTGTGCCGCAAGTGTGCCGATTGTGCCGGTCATAGAGCAAGCTTCGTTTGTTTGTAAAATATCCATCCCGGCAACCCGGTATTTCTGACACCTTGAATGATTTGGTTTGAAATCGCAAGGATAAATCGGACTGAGGATGACGCGGGAAGTGTTGGGTCTCCGAAATGTTGGTGTTTTGTGTTCATAGGATAATTAAAGTCCTGTGTTTTAGGGCTTTATAATGCGCTCAAAGGCAGACCAGAAACCTTTCGTGATATGAAAGCAACGGTCTATCAGCGGCCGGAAAGAGTTGGAACCGGTGAGGAACATTGTTGGAGACCGACTATAGAGGATGATGAATATGACCTCTGTAGTTTGTTTTGTGTGAGTTGTAGCATTATTTGAATTAAGGGTACTAAAGGGGTCTGATTAACTGCCTCTTTTTCTTGAGCCCACTCTAGAACCTACATTTCGTATTTAGATCTATAAGTGAACTACTGGTCTAAGTTCCTTTGGTATATTCAATCAAACAGCACGTAATGTTGTGAACAACCTTCAATGACAGTTGTCCAGTAGTGCTCACAATCCAATGCCTACGAGATTGTGCCGAAGGTGTGGCGATGGGTGTACCCAAGCTGTGCCGAATCTAATTTCGGCCCAATCTGCTGAGTGACTTACCCCTTATTGGGGTTTAAAAATGCGTTTTATTTCTCACAGTTCAATGTTATACATAGTGGTTCTTATGCTTATTGCAAGACCATTGTTTCAGTCTTCCTTATTACCATAGGCCATTACTAGAACATTTCTTCGTACACGGCCCATCATCTTTTGCACGAGCCTTGTTTCCAATTGTGTGGCTGCCAAATTCCATTTCCACTTGAAACCCTTCAGGTCAGTTGCAGTTCCACCCTTTTTCTTCAGTATGTGCTTCACAAGTGACCAGTATTTTTCAATTAACCTTACATCCGGAGTATTGGCCGGACTCATCTACATCACCACTGTGACGCCATTTTTGCTGTACCACTGTTTGGTAGCATTTTAGTACCGTGGACCTTCTTTAATCTGAACAGCACTAGTTTCTGGTAGCCTTATTTGCTGTTTTGTTTTGACTCAGAGTTCCATTTCGCTTTACTCTATTCCATGTGCTAGATGACATTTGATCAATTCAGATTAAGAACGATCAGATTACCGGGGGTCCACGGTAGTGGTAGCTTGCCAAGTCCGGTCAAATTAGGCAATCCACCTCATGCTGCTTCAGAAAATGCAGTAGTCTCTTCCGTAGGCACTTCTCCTGGTAAATTTGCTGGTCTCAGAAGTAACAAAAGTTTCGCTTTTCAGCCCTCAACCGCAGATTGCTTGCCAGACAAGGAACTTTTAGGGGACTTTCGACTTCTTCAGAGTTGGTTGGAAATGCTATCTAACCTGAAGCTTTAGTGTGATAATTTATTAGCTAGGGAATGAACTTAGAAGAGGGTAGGTGGATAGTTCCGCTAGAGTACGGCAGTATGAAAATTGAATAGAAGTTGAAAATGAGCGAAGGGCCATTAATACGACAGTACAAAGTCAAACGCACACCATTTGCCTAACCCGTACGATGTACGCGGAGATTTGAAGTATGTCTTCAAATCTACAGGCAAAAAGTGTGCGTCCGCCTTTGCTGCGGCTGTGGAATAGTTCTAGCGACGTTTCATCACTACCTAAAGTCCCACGATGCCGAGAGCATTTCCAGTCGATGGTGTGTTATAATGCAATTCTTCTTTACCCAACTATTGTGTTGCGAAAATTCTGAAAAATTCGAGACCTTCACAGAGGTCCAGAAAAATTCTGAAAAGTATAAAAGTTATCAAGATATTTTGTAGAATTTCGTGCCTCAGAGGAGCTTCTCTGATCTGGACAGATTGGAGAACCAAAAGGCAGTTCAAATAATTTCAAGAAAATTGCAGAATGCTTTCAGAAGTCTTGAGAAATTCTGGAAAATTCCGGAATCTTTAGGAAAGCTCCGAGATCATTCCTAGAACGTAAGGGAAGTTAAATTAACATCAGGAAAATGTGAGAGTATTTTAAGAATTTTATATGAACTTCCAAAATTGGTGAAAATTTATTTGAGATCATCAAGGCAGTTCCATTTAAAAATGCGATATCTTCAAGAAATTTTGAAACTTTTAGATAGTGTCATGATATTTTACAATGTCCCGAGTACAGCAGATAGCTTCACAGCAATACCATGTAATTAAGAAAATTTGCAGAGATCTACAAGAAGTTCCGTGGAATTGTGGGATATTAATCGATATTCATTTCGGGATCCTCAGAGAACATAAAAACTTCAGGGATGTCCACAGAAGTTCAAGGATAATTATTGATTTAAGGCAAAGTTTCGTGAGCGCTTATGATGTTTGCAGAACTTTGGGAAGATTATGGATAATTAAAGGCAATTCAATTAACTTCAGTGGAATTGCGGGTACTTCTAAAAATACTGAGAAATTCAGGACAGTCTAGAGTACTTTTAAGAAAATTCACAAATCGTTTGGACAGTTTTCATAACATCAGGCAAGTCTAGACTGTTTGAAAAGTAAAGGGCAGTTCCATGAACTTCAGGAAAATCTTTGATTCTTTTTTTATTTTGAAAGAAGGTCTTATGAAAGCCGTGTCGGTCAATTTAAAAGTATCGTAGTTGACTATGCGCGCCACCACCTGTGGCGCGCATAGTCAATTCCCTTGCGTTTAACGTTTACACATTACCGCCATCTATTCAGCGTACTACCCACCACAGTGTACTCAACAGATGGCGGTAATGTTTAAGCGACGATGTTTTACATTGATAAATATTCAATGTGTTATGTCTGTTTTTCTGTGCAGAATCTATATAAATAATTTCTTTTTGATTCCAGAAAATATGAGGGAACTTAAAAGAGTTTCCGAAATTTCAGTGATGGACAGACATTTCAGAAAAGCTTCAAAAGCTTCACAGAAGTCTAGAGATCTTCAGAACAATATTGGGAACTTCATAGAAGTCCATGAAACTATAGGAAAGATCCGAGAACTTTACGAATATTTCATGAACATTAAGAAAATGTTCATGAAATATTATTCTAATCGAATCTAACACCAACACAGCCAGTTCATGAAAGCATCCTGGAAAATGATAGATATACCTCCATCCTTTTTCTTGTCTATTTGGTATATTTTATACATCAGAGATGCGCAAAACATATCAAAACGGCCAGGCATACTGTGCAGCATTTAAGGGGCAAGATGATTCAGAAACATCGGGCCTGTTTAAATCAAAGATTTAAACACGATGCTTCAGAATCCAATAAATGGATGAAACGTGGACATCTCGTACCGTACGTTCCGTTGTTATAAATGATTGGTCGTTGGGAGCATCTAATCTAAAAAAGTTAAATGATGCTCCATTTTTCTCGAGTGGTTGGGACATGAGCACTAGCTCTTGTCTTAGCCCTACATGGCTAATGGTTATAGCGCCATTACTCGCTTTCTGAAAAGAAAATGTGCGTAAATTTAAAAAAAACGGGTCTCTAATCAATCTACAGGAAAAGTTCGCTAAAACTCACAATGACTCGCGAACTTTCCCTTTTGTGTGCTTCATAAAACCTCGCAAAATTTTCCAACGCTGAACAGGAACAGGTGAGAGCTAGACTTCAGAAGAGAGCAAAAGAACGAAAATATATTATAGATTTATAAACATATAAATGAAAATAAAGGGAATATCTCAGCAAGATTAATTAAATTTGCACTCTTACTGTCCTGCTGCACTACTGGAACTTTCAAGACTTTTCCGGGTTATTGCGAAACTAGTTCAAAAATTCTTCAGGCAAATCATGATCACAAAAATGGATCTTTAAGGTAGCGTCTAAAACCAGAAAAAATCACTAGGACGACTCTTTTGCCGAATGAACCAATTGGTAAATCTATGTTGGAGCTTGAGCATACCCACTCGTTCCCAATCTTTGACAATAGCGTACTCGACATTTGATGTCTCATCAAAATACAGCACGAAAGCGGCTCTTTGAAATGATGTCTAGGTCAAAGTTGTAGAAACCGCAACAGGTGAATATATAAACAGGAACGATCTCACCAAATGAACGATGGTTTGCCCGTGCAACAAAAACTTGGAAGACTGTTGGATCTCCTAGTTCTAGCTCAACACTTCAAACCATTCCATCGGATGTTCAAAGAAACTCTTGCAAAATCCGCCTCCAATCCAATCAGAATCATCGGGCCAATCGCCTAATACTAGTTCCGACGAAAAGGATGCTGATAAAAACACTTTGAATTTTACCCAATCACTTGTACTTGATTTGCACTAAAGTTCTTTTCTAGAACTGTGTTATCGGGTGGCACATTGTTTTGAGCTAATAAGCGATGAAAAATCAATGTCAGAAAAAAATTAAGCCTAAAACTTTCGAACCCATGATTTTCTGCTCAGTAAGCAAAATTGGTCGCCACAAGGCCAACGAGCTCCTTTAATCACAGAAAAATTACGATCAAGTTCCCGTTCAACTTGCTGTCACTAGATTTCGATGCCAGCGGTGATCTTACCGACGTCGACAACAACTG